TATGTGATGCTTAATATAATAATAATATTATTATTACTATCATTATGTTACAAAAATGGGTTTTAAAAGAGATATATAGGTTTTAGTTAAATCTGCCTTTCAGAGTTTCTTCGGTTGCTAAGGAAATTCCTTCTTTGTATATAGAGAGAATGAGAGAGATAGAGAAATAGAAAGTAATGGATACGTGAGATCTATTTTTTAAGTGTAGAATATTTTAAAACGAATATCGGCCAGAGTTATACTTAAAAAAAAAAAAAAAACGTTCTCCTTAACGCTATCTCCAACGACCTGTCAGAAATTTCTGAACGAATGTTCTCTGAAAATCTTGATATTATTTTAAGGGGATCGCTCTATGTGACCCAAGTGTGCATTCCGTGCCTCTTCCAAGCCGTCACCTGGGCAAGTCCCATTAATCAATATATTATATATATATATATATATATATATATATATATATAATATATATATATATATATATATATATATATATATATACATATATATGTATGTATGTATGTGTGTATGTATGTATGTACAAGTGGTTGTGTGTGTACTTATACATACATACGCACACACACATATATATACATATCATATGAATATGTATATAAGTATACATGTATATATATATATATATATATATATATATATATATATATATATATATATATATGCATATATGTATATATTATGTATAAATGTCAGCGCACATATATATACATATATATAAATACACATACAGCCATGTATGTATGCATATATACATATTTCCACACATACATATAGAGGGAAATATGAATATACATATATACACGTGTGTATATGTATCTGTGTATGTATATGTGTGTGCGTGTGCATCAGTATTCATAGCACTCGCACACACGCACACATATATAAATACACACACTCATATATATGTGTGTGTGTTATGTATATGTAAATATATTTATGTATAGTTGTTTATGTATATGTGTGTGTGTACGCTTCCATGTGTATGTGTATATGTATGTATCTACGTATTTTTGTGTAACTAAAATTATGTGTATGTGTTTGTGCGCATACAAGTGAACATTTGGCAGAAAACCGAAGTAGCCTATTTTAAAATGAATAAACTCCTCCATAAGTTCATTGTTCGGACAGAAACAATTGCACCTGTTCGCTGTGACCTTTTAGTGCTGAGCATTCAGATCGCAGACCAGTATATAAAGCATCCGCCGTTCTCGGGTCCCAAGCCACATAGGCATACAAGGGAACGAGCTTGCTGGTAAACTAGCCGCAAAGGGCAGGGGTATGCCCCCATCCTCCATGATCGTTAAACCCAGCCGAAGGGGACTGAGCCAAGGTACCAAAGCTGCAGCGTGTGCGGTCCTCCGAGGAGCACATAGAGAAAACATCACAAAATCGCTCGCTGCCAAGTGGTACTCAGGTGCTTCAGGCTATGAGCCACTGGCCTTCCTCCAAAAACAAAAAAAGAGGTACCGGAGTCATACTATTCAGACTAAGACTAGGTTACCATTGACAATATGTGAAAACGGCCAACGCACTTCTCTAATAAGCTTTGAAACTCTGCCGAACCTTTCAGAAACTATTCCTGGTCATCGTGAGCGCCGCCCTCTTGTGTTCACACGCCTTCGCTGCTAGTAGCTACTTGGGACTTGCCCAGGGAACGCCACTCGGAGGATTTTCGCAACATGGCACTCTTCACGGTGGCTTGATCCCCGGTGGTCTTTATGACAACGGTGCGTCCCTTGTCAACCACGGACTTCCACTGGGACATTTGCCAGGACCGATATATGGGAGTGGAGGCTACTTGGACTATACATACGGAACTGGTGCGTATTTTGGAAATCCATATGGAAAATCAAAGCTTCTCAAATATTTATACGGAAACCCCCTAGGCCATGCCAACCCATACGGCGCTCTACGAAACGTTGGAGTCGGTGGAGTGAACGAGGCTGAGGATGAAACATCGTCTACCTCTGGATCAGGTGCTACAAGCGGCGCAGATTTCGTTTCCAACAATCAAAACGGGGTTTACATTCCAGTCCCATTGCTGGATTGGGTGGCTTCCATTCCGCTCTTCTTCCTCACGCTTCCAGTGTTGCTTTAGGAACACACCCTTATGTTCTTGGACCTCACACTTTCATTGCTGGTTTGGGAGGATTCCCTTATGCTGCTGGACATCACACCTCTCTTTCTACCTTTAGTGGAATCCTCCCTAATGATGAACCTGCAGGCCTATTCCTTTATGGTCTTCAGACTCACAGTCCCATTGAATATTTAACTGGATTCCCTTATGCAGGAGGACCTCACGCTCCCCTTGCTGCTTCAGCTGGATTCCACGCAGGTCTTGGACGAAATACTCCAAATGCTGCTTTAAGGGCTCATGGTTCAGCCAACAAGTCTTCAAGGAATACAAACAAGCAAAAAGCAAAGAAGCTATAACTTTATAAAACAGGCAGAAATGTAAAGAAACGTAGAATTTTCTGAGAATAAAATTACTTTCAATACTGATCATGAAGTTTAATCCTCCTATAAACACCCTTTCCTTGTTATTCTAATTGATATTGACTAGAAAAAGAAGAAAAAAAATCAAGTTAAAGCAGCAATGGATGAGTAATGGCATTAAACCGCAGAATTCTTAATTTCATTTTTGCTGTAACTTTTCTATTGTCTTGTAGTGTGCCAATTCCAAGATTAATCTGGAAAAAAGTAATATGCAAACATGATTCTGAGATCTTTGATCTTTCTGTGTGTCTCTTTTTAATACGAATGTTCTAGCATATTTCTCAATTTGTTAAACGAACTTATATGTCGAATTGCTGTTATTGAATTCTTTATCCTCTGCCCCACCTTTTGCTGAAAAACTTTTATTATAACATTTATGAATTACAGAAGCAGTATTTCAGCTTTCAAAACAAATAACGGCTACATGGATGATCTCGTACAGCATTTTCCTTTTCAATCAAACATTTCCACAAATAGTGTATACATATAATCTAAAGCCAATAGATAAAAACTATTCGTGGTATAATAGATTATCTACTTAAGGATGAAAAAATCAAGAAATTGACAAACTGATAAAATCTAACAATGATTTCAGTGTAATATATATGCAAATACATATTAACATGGTATTTATACATATGGGCACAGGCAAATATAAGTGTGTATGTATGCATATATTTATATATATATGTATGCGTGTGAGTATACACACATGCATCTATACATATATATGAAAATATAAAAAGAGTGTATACATGTATGAATCCTAAAGTACACAAACGTACACTTATAGACATATATATATATATATATATATATATATATATATATATATATATATATATATATAAAAAGTAATACAGGAAAAAATATATATATGTGTGTGGTTATGTGTAAATATTTATGTATTTACTTATGAATACATGTATATTTTGTGAGCGAACGGATGCCCACACTCAGACACGCACACACAAACACACACGTAAAACACACATATATATGTCTGTATGTGAGTGTGTCTGTGTCCGTGTCTGCGTGTGTGTGTGTGTGTGTGTGTGTGTGTGTGGATGGGTTAGTATATATATATATATATATATATATATATATATATATATATATATATATATATATATATATATATATATATTATATTATATATAATATGTATATATATAATATATATATATATATATATATATATATATATATATATATATATATATATATATATATATATATATATATATATATATATATATATATATATACATATATAT